TAGAAATTGTTTAGAATCCTGCATCACAATTTATATTTGGCTGAACAAATTGCTTGAAAAGCAAGCAAAATTGAGCAAAAAGCAAAAGGAAAAAACCCGGTCAAAACCCGGTCAAAACTGCCCAAAACTCAGGACCTGAACCCTAAACAATTTCTATCAACCCTAAACCCTAAACCCTGAACCCTAAAACCTACACCCTAAACCCCAAACCCCTCAACCCCAAACCCTACGAAACCGAGGCCCTCAGATATGTGTGTTTCCGAGAACAGGGGACCCTCATATAGCACCCTAAATAGTAGGATCCTTACTATAAGGACCCCAAAATAAGGTACCCCCTAATTTTCGGAACCTCCCATATGCAGGCCACAGGACCAGCCCGAATCCTGAACCTCAGGCTTCCCCGACATCTCAAAGCGCAAAGTGCAAATCCCCTGCAGAGGAGAACGCTTTAGGGTTTAGGGCTTAGGGTTTGGGGTTTAGGGTTTAGGGTTTAGGGCTTAGGCCAGCGACTCTTATCCAGACCCAAAACCCTAAAGCCGTCATCCCGGAACCCTAAAGCCCTAGAAGTTTTCAGGGTTTAGGGTCTAATGAAAGTTTAGGGTTTAGGGGCCATAGACTAGGCCATAGACCCTAAACCCTAAACCCTATAAACCCTCATTCCTTGAGGCATGGACCCAGACGACAACGAATACCGCTGGGTCCTCGCAGGCGCTGCGATGCTGACCCAGGCCGCCGAACGCAGCGTGCTTCTAGGGTTTAGGGTTTTGGGTTTAGGGTTCAGGGTTCAGGGTTTAGGGTTTAGGGTTTTGGGTTTTGGGCTTTGGGTTCAGGGTTTAGGGTTCAGGGTTGGGGTTCAGGGTTCAGGGTTCAGGGTTTAGGGTTTATATAGGCCCAAGTTTAGGGTGTCAGCTTACGTGTGTAAGTCGATGCCATTGGGTTGAAGCGTCAGTACTTGCATGCCTTCAGAGTGCAGCATAGTTTTAGACTCCCCTGAAGCGGCTCCAAAAAACTGCAAGGCTTTATGGTATGCCTGTAGCTCCCAAGCCTAAGTGCACCCGGATTTTCGGAGGGTTTTAGGGTCCAGAGTTCTTTTTAACTCATGGGTGACAGGGTATGCCGGGCATGGAGGCACACGCCGGCCGCCCTCTTACGGGCGGCGGTTGAACATGTTGTTTGCGTAGTCTTACTTTGATTCAGGCCTGAAAATACGCGCGCCAAAGTCCATAAACTTAAGCGGTGCACCCTAAAATGAAACTTAAATGCCCATTGGACCCGAAAACCTTATCCCTTCATTGGCAACCTTCGAAGCCGAAAAGGGGGATCCTGGCATGGAGTAACTCCAAGTTGGAGTATCGAAGATGAAAACAGCCATCCAGCAGAAGCCGATCCTTAGGAGCACCATTACATATGTAGTGGTTTACCGCTCCTGATATATTGCAGAAGCTCTATGGTAGCTTTAGTACCCATAAGCCAGTTTCTAGAGATCCTGTTGGCAGAACTCGTAGTTCTCAAGCCTTAAATTAGGGTTTGGGGTTCAGGGTTCAGGTTATAGGGCCAGCCCTAGGCCCTGGAACAGAGGGCTCTTGAAGCCACGAGCGCAAGCTACTCCAGTCGGTCTATCCATCCGAATGACCCCATACCCCCAAATCCCTAAACTCTGAACCCTGAATCCCTGCATGCCTGAACCATGAATCTCTGAATCCCTAATGAACCCAGACCTCTCAACCCCCAAAGCCGCGGACCTGCAAGTTTCGTGTCGCCGAGCCTTTACGCTAACAACAGCGAACTATGCCTGTTTCGCATTTTGAAGGGGACGGCTTCCACAGTAAAGCTGAAGCACGAGGAAAGGGCAAGTGCCCTTGCCAATGAGGGGATACGGGTTCACGAAATGAAACGAACAAGAGCCCTTATAGAACTCGTATACCCGAAGGGTCCATGTACCTAAATAGTAGATACATTGAGGGACGACTCTAAGGTCAAAGTATAAGCTATTTGGGTACATGGACCCTTCAGGATGTACAGCCGGTGAGGCAGACTGGAGCCCTAGTAGAAGCCTTCACGAACCTTTAACCCTCAGCTTTGTGGATCTTCGTAGTCTAGACCCTGAACCCTAAAACCCCTGCAGAACTTTGCTGCAACCGACCAGGCAGCATATCCGAACCGAAGCCCTAAACCCTCTACGCAACCGATGAGGCAGACTAGACCCTAAAGCCGAAACCCCTAAACCCGTATAACCCTAAACCCTAAACCCATCGCCCCTAAACACCCTAAACCCCTAACCCTTAAACCGATGAGGCAGATTAGACCCTAAACCCCAAAGCCTAAACCCCTAAACCCTAAAAGCCTAAGCCCCTAAACCCCCTAAACCCCTAACCCCAACCCCTAAACTGATGAGGCAGATTAGACCCTAAACCCCCAAGCCCAAACAAATAAACCCTAAACCCTAAAAGCCCAAGCCCCTGAACACCCTAAACTACCCCTAACTTTTAACCCCGGAACCCCAAACCCTAAAAGCCTAAGCCCCTACAAGCCAAAAGCCGATGAGGCAGACTAGACAATAAACCCCAAAACCCTAAAAGCCTAAGCCCCTATAAGCCGATGGGGCAGACTAGACCCTAAACCCCAAAACCCTAAAAGCCTAAGCTTCTACAAGCCGCAAACCGATGAGGCAGACTAGTCGATCCTGGCTCTCCGTTGGCTTTGGCGGCAGACTCTCAGCTCTGGCGGACCCCCTCAGTCGGGTCCTGCGGTCCCGGAGTCTTTTCGGGTTTGGGGTTTAGGGTTTTGGGGTTTGGGGTTTAGGGTTTAGGGTTTTGGGGTTTGGAGTTTAGGGTTTTGGGTTTGGGTTTAGGGTTCAGGGTTTGAGTATTTAGGGGAGGTTATTCCGCTGATTCCCAAGACCCTCCTCGCGCCCTCAAACCGGATTCTATGGTCCCGAACAATGGATATTTTAGGGTCCAGAGGGGACCAGGTGGAGGGACTCGGTCCTCTGCGTGTTCGTCTTGTTGCCACTTCTGTCGTTTTATTGTGATCCTTATTGTTGCTTTCATGGTTACGACTATCAGTAGCCTGAATATATGACCGGGTCATCAATATGTTCGTTCGACCTGTCAGTATGGTTGAGTACCAGTATCAAGCATGCAAGTATGGTTAACAGCATCACTTTTGTTGCTAGACTGCATGCTTGTTAGGCACGAAACACGGATTTTATGTCGGTTGCTAGTGAAATTACCGCATCGTTTTCTCTGTCGTCAATACTTTGAATGTTGCTGCGATTTCTGTGTTCGGTGTACCACGTGTTGATACTTCATGTTGTTCTTACTGCTGGAAGGTGACATGCTCCTTGTCGTCCCTTCTGTTACATACTGTACGTACTGTAGCAGTTACATATTGTCATCACATCTTCATGGTCGATATCATCTTCCATGTCAGCAAACTCGGTGTGACCACAGCCGGTCCTTGGATTCTTAGGATTCTTGCAGTACATGGGCTCGAAGTTGAGGTATTGCACCTTGCCGGCGCTCAGATGTTATTTCTTGGTGAGCTCAGCCCTGAATCCCACCTGAAAGCCCTTTGTGTTCTAAGGTCTTAAGTGGCTAGAGCCCCTTCTGGGTATTGTATGTAACATAAATATCATAAAGAAACTTCATGGGAGAATAGCTCACTCAGCCTTGTCGAATCAACAACCCAATCAGAAGAAGCATCCCTGGTTTTTGGAAGCTTCTGGTTTAGGGTTTTGGGGTTTGGTTGAGGGTTTAGGGACCCTTGATGTTGCAGTGGTGTTCTCTCATTGGGGCGAAGATGGTTGAACACGATTCACGACAATTCACAGATTGAAGATGTCTTTACCAAAGTAGGCGTTGCCGCAGGACCTGGCGACGACGTAGAAAGAGGCTCGTGTCAAGACTTCGTTTGGTAAGTTCTTAGGCTATGGGAACACGCTCTGTGCTGAAGAATCTGCTAGACACTAACCCTAAACCCTAAACCCTAAACCCTAAACCCTAAAACACCCCAGGCCCTGAGCCTTAACTCCCCAAATCATCCGAAACCCTATAAGCGGCCCCGAACCTAATTCCCCAAAACCCTAAACATCCCTAAACCCTAAACCCGAAACCCAAAACATCCCTAAACCCGAAGCCATCCGAAACCCAGCCTAAAGCCTAAGTGGGTTTAGGGCTTAGGGTTTAGGGTTTAGGGTTTAGGGTTTAGGGTTTAGGGTTTAGGGTTCTAAGTCTTGAAGTCCTAAGCCTGGAAGCCCGGGCGCTGCTTCGGCCGCGTTTTCCCATGGCTCGGTCTTTCTGCACCTGACCCACTAGAGCAACCACTGCCTAGGTTGTACAGGTTGGGGATGCTTCAGGGTTTAGGGTTTAGGGTTTAGGGTTTAGGGTTTAAGGGGTTGGGCTTCATGGGTAAAAGAGCTTCGGCGTTTCAGTTCTTCTTCGACCTGCGTACCAGAACCGACTGTTTCGGTAGGTCCCCTACAAATTCTACATACAAGTTTACAGTTGTACCCTGCAAAAGAGTAGGTTGTGGAAGCAAAAGGTCGGGTTGAGGGTGAGCGAAGACTGTTCTGGGATCCTTGTGTGTGTGTGTGTGCCAAAACGTAAATATTTGCCAATGCTAGTTTGGGGTTCCTATTACAGTATAATGGGCCCCAAAACCCTGTTCTAATTATGAAGGCCCCTACATTATTGTAAGCCCCTTCAGCCATAAAGCCTGAAATCCCTAACTGACAAAGCTTCCGGTGGCTTCGGAATTCCGGTGATTTTAAGGTGCCCCGAGCATTTGGCGGACCTACGATTAAGGTTAGGGTACAGATGGGTAGGGCCCAGGTTTTGAGTTTAAGGTTTGCTTTTGGGGTTTTAGGGTTGTTTGGGGGTTTATGCTCTAGTGCTTGGGTGGTCTCAAGAGTTAGGTCCAGTTAGGTTCCTTGAACGAGATGTGTTGCGTCAGTGCCTGGCAGAAAACTGAGGGGAAAGGCAAGAAGGGCTTATAAGGCTTAGGGCCAGTAGGTTACGGCTAAAATTTCTACCTCGTTGTGCAATCAGCTCACCGTCTTGGGCTTGGTGTGCTGCCACATGTCTGGAGGAGGCTAGGAACGGCTTAGTGTTTTCAGGACGACTGCGTTGCTCAACAGCGTGGCGGGTGTTTCACTATGTGCATGCCAAAGTAGTAATTCTATGCCCCAGGGGCGATTGATCGCTCCTCGAGAGGACGAACGTGCAGTGCGACAGGGTCAGTGGGATGGGCGCCAAGAGCAGGATCACGTCGGAGCCACACCAGGTAACTTAGGATTGTGGTTTCCATAGGCTTCCTTCCTCGGCAGATATGGATGTCAGATGCCCCCCAAGTCATCTATCATGTCGGTACCAGGCTAGCTACCGTAATTACAGGGGATAGCAGGCCATCCCTGTAAAATGTACTGTACATTCACGCGAAGACTATACAGGCACCTGGACTGGTAGGGAACACTCCTCGAGGCTTTCGGCTAAGGGATTCACGAGGCTGGTGGAAACTGGGGTTTAGGAACTTTGAGATTTGAGGTGTAGGGTTATATAGAACTGGCATAAACTAACGAGGATCACCGAAAATTATTCAAGAATACATGTTTGCATTTCGATTTGTGTAACTCAGGAAGGTCTGTGTGAGTCGGTTTCACTTTTAGGTGCAGGCGTCGGGGTTTAGGGCTTAGAAGCTCTGAACGTGTTCAAGGCCTCCGGAACACTCCTTAGTCATTGCCTAGCCCCAAGTCCTAAGTCCTTCTCGCCAAACCCTAAACCCTGAACCCTAGACCCTAAATCCATACCCCAAGACCCTGAACCCTAAACAGACATTGAACCCCAAGCCGTAGCCTGTAAGCGGCATGGAGAAGCCCACGGCTGGATCACTGTAAGTTCCCATGGTCGGCGCTGTGAATCTTTGTGAAGTGCGGCCACGGCTTCGAGCCGTGGGGGTTAAGAGTTTGGGCTTAGAAGACTGAAGGCTTCAGGATGTGGGTTTTAGAGTGCTTGGATTCTTGTTGGGTTGTGCTGTAGGGCTTCGGGGTTCAAGACGTGTGTTTCAGGGCCCAGCGCTTGGTGTTTCGGTTCGTGATCTACGGCTTGAAGGTTGCGGCATTGGTGGAGTCAGTGCCGTTGCCACTAACCGGGGTCATGATAGCTGGTTTGAGGTCCTAAACCCTCATTAAACACATTTAAACCCTAAGCTCTAAACCGTGGCTTGAGGTTACGATGTTGTTTAGGCTTGGGAGGTGAAGTACCTCGTGCTTCATACTGGAAAAGTTAAGGGCTTTAGGGCTGTGAGCTTTGAGGCTTTAGCAGTTCAGGGTTGAGCTTTGAGATGTCACTTCAAGCCCCTAGTTAGGGTTTAGGGTAGGGTTTAGGGTTTTGTTCAAGCCTCATTCCTAAATTCTGTTAAACCTAGATCAGCGGCTAGCGTTATTGGGGCCTCTTGATTCTTGATTCGGGGCCGTCTACAGGAAGACAAAGGCCAGCTAAATCAACAGTGCTGAATGTACTAGGTGCAACTAAATATCAAGACCGACGCGCTCTACATGTGCCCGCATTGATTCAGACCTTTGATGATTGCGGCCTTCTCAGATTCTGAACCACCTCAAATATCTTCTCTGCTGCAATACCTTGCGGTTTCAGTATACAAAGTACTCCCAACATAGAGTGTGAGTAGTGGAATCCTGTTTAACAGGAGAAACCATCCACAAGGATTTCCTGGTCCTAGTCTTTTCTTAGTCATCGTACCCCCGTTGAAGACCCGGACACCGGAAGAGCAAATGCCTGCTGTAAAGGAATTCAAGTCAGGGATGCTTGCAGGACTAAACCCTAAACCCTAAACCCGACATAGCCAGAACCTGAGTTGTTGTCTGTCAGGTTTCGGCTGATTTTAAGGTAGTATCTTGCCTTTGGGACAACCTACTGTATCGTTACGATCCTTTGATAGGCCCCAACCTGTTACAGAAGCTCATGCTCGAAGAAGACCCAGGGAATGTGGCTGCACTTCACAGAAATTCAAGTTCAGACGCCCCGCCCGCGACCCTATAAAGGGTAGGCAGCCTTGTGCACCGAAGTGGCGGGCTCCGATATAGGCATAATTAGAATGGGCTTGGGGCCAATATAAGCACAAAGAACCCTCAAAATCCTATTTGTTCTGATGCCCCTACATTAAGGCTTAGGGTTTAGGCTTCGGGGCTCGGATTCACGAGTTTAGGGTTTAGGGCTCTGGTTGCCGCATGTTTGTCCTTTGTATCTCCCACTTTTTTACTGTGCTCGACGGTGATGGACAGCAAGTCCTAGTCGTCAAAGCTAAAGTTCATCTCCAAGATTCACGCACCCTAAACTCCTGAAGCCCTACTTGGAGGTTCATGGGTAGTTATAAGTGGGGTTATAAGTAGGGTAACTATACTTATAACCCATATTAGGGGGGCTTATAACCCTACTTCTAACTACTCATGAACCTCCAAGTAACCCAAGAGAAGTACGACCTTCTGGAGCGCAAAGATGTAGAGGATACGACTATCAGTTGTGAGGACCTCACACCTGGGCGTTACGGCTGGGCCATCCCTAGACGGACAGTGTAACCACCGGGCAACTTTATCGGAGGCCTCAGAAGGTGGGATGAAGGTAGGTGGGATCTTCCCAAATAAGAGTCCTCATATAAGGGATC